TTGGTAAATATGAGAGGCGATATGCAACTTATGGGTTGCAAATTGAAGGAGATTCTTTGAATAGTTGGTGTTCAAAAAGGGATATTCGTTTGCCTAATTTGGGGCTAAGCAAATGAGGTAGACTAGGATTTGGGTCTTATATCTAGTTGAAGTTTAGAAACTTTCCATGTGCTTAGGTTGCTCGCCGTTTTACTTGGAGACCTCCAAATTGTCATTCTACACTCCAAGTTTCCTATGATGCAAAATGTGAACTTCATTGATTGTTCTTGTTGTGAGATTTGCTACACATAGCTTTGAAGGTCTTGGTCTCACAATGACTAGACAGTCTAAATCAATTAAATTAAGTATATGCATTAAACAAAATTCTAGAGATCATCAATTTCAATGTACAAGCTCTCCTAAATCTATATCAATTTTGTCATGAAATGAAGAGTATAAAAGTGAACACACCTTGTGGCATTGAGAACCTACGCATGCATTTTTGTTTATGTAAGTCAAGAAACAATCTAACATCATGCAAACTAGTTTGGTTGAGTGTATGGTCACAAAAATTGAGTGCAATGAATATCAAACCTAAGTTTTATTGTAGGTGACGGCTAAGCTCCAATGCGCGCTTTGGTGTCCTTCTCAGGCTCTCACATGAGAGCAAACAAGTGAAAATCATCAGATTTCCACCGTTTTGCCGCAAGGAAAGAAAAATTGTAGTTTTTTTGTGTTTTGAAAATTAAAATATATGGTTTCTAGGGACCTAAGACTTGGGAGTGTCAACCACACAAACAAAGGGATTGAAGACCTAGGTTTTGCTAAATTTTGGGAGATTTTAACTCGCCGGGTCCAGTCATGGCGCTAACGGAATGCTCTTTCCTTGCAAAAGGTGAGATGGAAGGATATTGCTGTCTAGACTGCTTTGGATGTCATTTTGCTATCATGAGCTCGCCAAAGTTGAAGAGGAGGGGAATGTTTCTACAGATGTCGCCTTCCAAAAGCCTTCACAGCACCCACCACTTTTCTTTTCTCTAATTGACAGAGAGAAAACAACAGTTCTTCTCTGTTTGGATAGCAAAATTCTTTTGTTGAGCTTAGATCACGCACACAAGTGCTCCTTGGCTGAAAGTACTAGAGTTCACCACTATAGAAGGACCGAATGAGATAAATAGCCGCTCGATCTCTATTCAACCTAGCTCCAACACATGCTCGAGCACACACGCAGGAAGACCTACCTTCTAGACTCCGCTCCCTCTCTTGCTCGGATTGGAAGTATTAATAGCACGTAAGAGTGTCGTCCTGCTCGGCCAGGAAGAAACACACGCATAGAGGAAGCCGCACAGTTTGCTCGACGTACAGGCACGGATCAGCCGCTTGTAGAAGCCGTGGGTGGCTTCACATTCAACCGATCCCACTAGCTTTCTTGCTCAACTCCTCTCTCGTTCCTTGTCTGGACATCACGTGAGGAGGAAACCCAAACACCAGAAAGGCTTCTGCTCCTTGTCTCCTGCTCTCTACTCTCTCTCGGGTGGAAGGAAGGCACACGAAGACCAAAAATGCACTCCTGCACTCTCGTTTCCTCTATACACAAAAAAAGAGGGTATGTCGCTCGATCTCTGCCAAAGTCGCACATATCTGCTCCAAATCAAGTTCACACGACTAGGCAATGCGACAACGGCTCAGAGTTGAAATTTCTAGGAAATCTCAGCCGTTAATTAGGAAATTTGATTTGGAAAGTCAAATTGTGTTCAGATCTGAACCAATTGGACTGAACTGAGCCTGTAGACTTGATTTGAATTGATTTAGGTCTATTCGAGCACAATTTGGCTTGATCGAGTTAATTTAATTAAATTGAGCTCGAATCAGTGTCAATTTGGGTTGAATTGGATTCAATGGAGCTGATTTGAATTGATCGGGTTCAACCGAACCCGATTGAGTTCGATTTGACTCGATTTGAGTTGAGTCGACACGAAATAATGCATCAATAACCCTCAGATAGCCAAAGACTATCTCAAACGAATTAAGTGATGTTTAATTAGTAGGCTTAAAAAAATCCTAATTTTTAATTTAGTTGTCATTGTTCGTACAGTACGACTTATAGATCATATAGTATAATTACTTCAACTATGCCTATTAGTACTGTATGACAAATCATGTTTTGATTGTCCAGTACGAACTTGGGTCGTATAGTGTGATTAATACAATCGAATCATAGTGCATCCAAGATGAGTTCCTAGACAAGAAAAAATCATCTCTGTCAATCGTCCAATACGATCTTAATCATACCGTACAATCTTAAATGATAATTGCCTCAAATTTGATTTCTTAATCACAGGGATTAAATTAAACAAAATTTAATTATATCATGCAATACGATTTGAATCATCTTGTATGATTAGTTCATTCTTTAAATTCAAATTCAATTTTTTTAATGAACATTAAATTCTGATTACACAAATCATACAATATGCTCCAGATCGTCAATTACGATCTTCAGAAAAATTAAAACTTTAAATTTCATTTCTCGGTATGTGTGCACGGTTGCTAAGCTAATATATATCTTTTTACATTTATTGACTTAAGAAAATATAATTGCAAACATGTTCAAACAAATCAAACATATACAACCCAATCTTGAGCCCTTATTCTCTGATGACGCACGGTGTATGCTGAACTTGAAATCGTAGTGCACACATAAAAGATATATGCAAAATAAAGAGTAGGAGAAACTAGATAATCAACCAATAATATTTGTAATCAAAACACAAGCTCAAACTCTCAAATTGAGATACTAATTGAGGGGGTTATTTAGGAAGGTTTTCTAATTGTGTTTATGTTATTTAGGAAGGGTTTAATCATGTGTATTATGTGTTAGGGCTATTTAAGAGGGAGTTTTTTCTATGGATTGGAACTTATTCTTTTGCTGAAGTTTATTTTTGGGTTTGTTGTGAGTTTTTTAGTGATAGCTAGGGTTTGTGGGAGAGTGATCTACCTCTCGAATAGTAGATCACTTGTATTTTCATTATTGTTGAAGAGATAATTCAAAAATTAGTCATAATATTTGATTCCTACAATTTTCTTCCAATCTACTTGTTTTTACTTTCAAGGCGTATCATTGCTCAAGGAAAATGAAGCGTTGTCAAAGAAATTGTATGATTCAAGTGAGAAAAATGAAGCATGCGAAGAGGAAAATGATGATATCCTTGAAGAAACCATTGCTCGGGAGCTCCTCATTAATTTTTAGGAGTTGCATTACTTAAAAATCTTTTGATACGCAGTGGTTAATTAGTGATGTTAACTATCTTTATTGGATCACAGAAGATCTAGGGAAGCAGATCAGAGCGATTAATGAAAACATGGATCTTAAGGAGTGTCGAACCCACATAGTGCTTTTTGCAAGTAAAATCCAGCAAGCAAGAAATTCCTTAAAAAAACTCAACATGGAAACAGAGATGGGTGGGAAACTTTTAGAGTAGAGATACATGGAGCTATCCAGTTCAGGCAAGTTTGAAGTCATTCAAAACTCCAAAATGCCTCTAGCTCCTGATGGTTGTATGCAGATGATCAATAGGACCAAGTTGGTTAGAAATGGATTAGAGATGAATTGGTTTTCATCATTAGAAGAAGAAAATTTCTGCAAAGATTATTAGATTTTTTGCTTTCGAAAACCCAATCAAATGTTGGAAGAGGAATTTCATGAATTGCATGGAGTGGAAGCATGAGGACCCGGGAAATCAACTTGGCATCTGAACTTCAGGTATCAATTGATGAATGCAGATCCAACAAAGCAGAAGTTCCAAAGTTCCTATATGACCATCATGTTTCATCATTCATGGAATTGATATTTAAGGAGTTCTTTTAGTTGATGCAGAAACTTAAGGGCCGTTGGAAAACTGATTTTGTGCAAATGAAGTTTCCTGTTAAAGAAATTGCTTGCGGAAATGTTCAAGAAGAAAATTTAAAAGAAAATGTTCAACTGCTTGGAAAAGAAATGAGGGGCTGAAGGAAGAATTGAATGCTTATGATTCCTTTTTTGCTTCTTTGGAAAATGAGATTGTGTCTGGAGAAACGCACCCTTTCATTGATATGTCTGAACAGTAAGAAAAAACAACCAAAAAATTTCAGTCGAGTAAGAGGCAAGCATCACAGCTTAAGAAGTTTAAGAGCATCAGTCCGAATCTTGGAGCTAAAAAGGTTGTGTGCAAAGGTTAAGATACTTCATAAAGCAATAGCCAATACTAAAGTATTTCTAGAGAAAGGAGTTGTTGTTTCTGGTACCATTGTGGATGATGAAATATGAAAAGACAAAGCATAAAAGTCAAAAAGAAGCTCAAGATTGGATCTGATAAAAAGTGAAGGCATTGGCAAAAATGTTAAACTATAGAAAGATGATATTCTCTAGCGTGAAGCACGAGCAAATAATGAGGGATATAGAACTTGATCATGTGCTAATTGGTTCTTGACATGAAGCAGATTTTGTTGTTAAAATAGATGAGCAAGAGACGGTTCTCATCATTCCACCTTGTCCTCAAGGTGCATCTTTTTTTTTTTTTGTGGGGGGAGGAGGGATTGATACGCTAGGGGCACCCACATCTAGACCGAAGGAGCTATTATTCATTATGTAAGGAATCAAGGGGAGCTATTTAGGAAGGTTTTAATTGCGTGTCAAGGTTATGTAAGGAGTTTCGTTTAAGGTTTTCTTGTTATGTATGTTGAGTTTATTTTCCTCTTGTTAGTGTGAGTTTCTTAGCGGTGGCTAGGGCTTGTGGGAGAGTCGATCTATCTCTCGAATAGTAGATCAATTGTATCTTGCATTGTTATTGAAGGGGAGATAAAAAATCAGCCCCTATCTTTGTGTTCTTGCATTTTTCTTTTCATCTACTTGTTATTTTTACTTCCAAGATGCATCAGAGTGCTACATGTTCTTATGTTCATATTTAACACTATTTCCATTTCTCTCTTTTCTTTTTTAAAAATTTTGAGCTAAAGTTCCAGCTTGGGTTTCTGGTTTTCAGCTTCCGAAGCAAGAAGAGCTAAAAACGGTTGTTGACAAAGTGAAAGATTTCATTGGTGACACCACAAGTGGTGCAAAGGAATCTTTCGGCAAGCTTGCTTCCTTGGGTTCTATGACACCTGAGGATCCATAATGAACTTTGAAGTAAGGTACTTTACAAGAATTTAGGTGCTATTACCATTTTTGTTAGCTTTGATTTTGAATTAAAAAAGAGATCAAAAGCATTGTAACATTGTCTGTAACAGTTTAGATTCATAGGTTGCATCTTAAAATTATTTTACGATAGATTAGGTTGATAAATTAAAAAACAAAACATCAGCATTACCTACACATTACCCCAAACTATCATGACAAGTACTATGTTGGTTGTCATGTTGCTGTAATTTGAAAATTTTCTACTTGAGACTCACATCAACTATGCTTTTAGTTTAAAAAATTAGAAAACATGATATATTCGACAGCAGAAATGTATACTTTTTTGTTATGACCGTTTTCTTATCCGTCAGCTTGTGAACCAGAGTCATCTTTGGAATTGATTTGATATGCCTCAGAAATTGCAGTGAAGATGGTATTAGCTGACCATGTGCAATGATAGTTGGTTCAATATACCTCCGAACTCTTCAAACCGTAGTTAGATCTCATCTTTCTGATTTGATGTTGGTACCAATATGGATATTGGTTTAATCACCTCTTGCAATTTTCTTAATGAGCATCATAATGTTAGACTGGTCCAGCTGGCCCTAAACTTGGGCTGGCACCTGGTCCATGCCAAGCGGACCAAGAAGTCGTTGGCCCCCTTTGTGGGGCCCATGAATTAAAAACAATTTTCAAATTAGAGGAGGAGGAATTAGGAGAGAAATAAATTTAAGAAGGTTGTTTAGTAATTATGCATTTATTTTGTATTCTCTAAATAGGGGGAAAGAGTTAGGGTTATGTTGATGTTTTGCTCAATTTTAGAAGTATCTAGGTTTTGCTTGGGATCTAACCGTGCACTAGAAAGTGGGAGAGCCAAATCTTCCTCTCAAATTAAAAATTCATTGTATATTTTCCTCATTTTCTTCCATTTTTCTTCTATTATTAAGTTTTCTTCCATTTTTCTTGTTAGAACGGGGGAAGGAACCAATGGAGTATGGATGTGAGGGCAAGGAAGCGACAGATGCTGTGGGCTCTAAAAATTCGGCCTCGACCTCCCCCGTTGCTTTTTTTAGGGGGAGTTTTAACAGAATTATGTTCCGGGGTAAATTATGGAAGGCATGTGAGTTTGTAGATAAGAGACTACCCAGAGATTTTGCCCTCATTTTGCGAGGACTTTATGATCTGAGTTCTGGTTTCCTGTAGGCGCAAGCATTTATATGTAATTACCCCTCCTAAAATGAGAAAGAACTTTTGATTAAGGCTAGTCGTCAATCAGATAAATAGAACTACATGTTATCTTGCTTGTAATAGCAACATGTGCATAGGATATTTGAAGGTTGAACATTTAAAATTTGAAATTTCACCATCTTGTACTTAAAGCGGATGGTGGGGGAATGAATGATGGACCCGATTAAGATCTCATGGTTCCGTCGTCCCGGGCCATCGTGGTTCCTAGTCTACCTAGTTAGAGGAAGTAGTCGATCCAACCTGATGGAAGGATACTTGTCGGCAACCACGGATTGTTTCATCCAAGGGTACATTGTAGAACTAGAGTGAATATTTGTCTAAGGGGACAAATTTGAATCCACCTTAGCTAACAGAGGACTTTGTGCCCTATCGATTTTAACCTATTGATTCATATATCATGGATTTGATGCCACTAGGGAACATACTGACTCTGGCCATAACCGCTATCTCGTGGTGCCATTTGGCGATAGAGCCACTCGGTTCAGAGGTCCCCGGATTATAAACGTTTATCCTGCGGTGCCATTTGATGGCAAAATCGCCGGTTAGAGGACACATACTACATCCTTAGTGGTATCATATTATTTGAGAATGAATCCTACTGATATTTTTGACTAGGCATTAGCTCTATGTGAGTTGAAGTATTTTTTAATTTATCCACCTTGGCAAACTATTGTGGAGGGTGGATATATTTTTCTTTATGAATTTAGTGGTTCATTTCGATTTTAAACATTTGAATTTTGGGGTTTTTAGAAGTCTAGATTTTGTGAGTGTTTGGGAGGCATTTGAGAGTGTTTATGAAATATTAAAATTGACCCCTCCGGTTGAGATTTTCTACTAACACGGCCATCATCAAGGTGTATGGGGTCATTCATTAACTAAACCTTATTGACCCTATCAATCTTGTTGATAGCGGATCGTGTTCGTTGCTGGCTTTGCGGTATTGTTAATGAATTTTTTTTGTTGGAGGCCTTGAAGGCCTTATATGAATATATAAAATAAATATTCTGGTTGACACCCTGACCGTATATCTGTTTCATAATCCAAATGTTGCGGATCTGTTTTCATGGATTAGAATTTTGATGATAGCAAACATTCATGATTTTCTACGACTGCCTTGCCTACTAACTTTTCAGGTCCACAAGATCGAGTGCTACTCAAGTCAGCTCAAGATTGGGTAGATTAAGTCTGAGTCAGTTTGTATTTTTTCCCTTTCTTGAGTCTATTGTAAACAATGTGGTTCCTGATACTAAGTAACCTTGCACACACACACCTTGGGAGAATTTTTGACTGTTTTCTAGAGTTTACTGTTTTTGGTAACATCGTCCGGGACGATATTTATATCGGCCTGGACGATGTCAGCTCAAGATTGGGTAGATTAAGTCTGAGTCAGTTTGTATTTTTTCCCTTTCTTGAGTCTATTGTAAACAATGTGGTTCCTGATACTAAGTAACCTTGCACACACACACCTTGGGAGAATTTTTGACTGTTTTCTAGAGTTTACTGTTTTTGGTAACATCGTCCGGGACGATATTTATATCGGCCTGGACGATTGTTTCAAAAATAGAAACCCTAATTAGGGCATCCTTATTAAGGAAGCCGTCGTTAAGCACATCATCCTGGAGGATAGGCTCAAATCAAAAAGAATCAGCCGCCAGATCTATTTAGGTATTACTTATTTTTGGACATCGTCC